CCTGCATTAAAAATGTCCCAAAACTATTGTCCCTTTATTTTACAAGTTTGATGGCAGACTTGTGATTTTGGGTAATTCATTAATTTTAGTTGTATCATCCCACAGGAGGGAGATCCACTCACGGCATCCCAGCCCAGATGGAGCCAGTGTTTCCAGCCTGACCATCCCAGTGAAAACAAATCTAGTCAGCGATGACAGCTCCAGCACAGAAGCTAACGCTGTACGATGCTTTCAAAGACACTTGTTTCTGTCTCAAGACTTTTATCCTTCATTCTCTGGCTCTTGTCTTCTTACTGTAGGTCACCGAGGAAACATCCGTCAGTCAGAGCCCCGAGTTGGAAGTTGATCGACTCTTCAAAAAGAGCATCAGACGAGCCGAAGGGCCTTCTGGTTAGCATCTTTTTAAATCACTTTCTGTGATGTTTTTCTGACAGACTCGTATAAAAACATTGCATGAATTGCAGCTGAATTAAAGATCTACATTTTTAATTTTTGTAATAGAGTTTGTGTCAACACTGGACCTGCGTAATAGACCTGAGACACCAGAGGCCTCGATGGGAAACAGAAGCCGTTCTGTACCAGGTCTAGACATACAGGTAATATTGACTTTGATGTCAGGACACAAAAATGTGTTCAGTGGCACTTAACATTTACAGTCTATGGTTATGTTCTGTGTGATCGGTTGCATTTTTCTGCCAGAAGCAAGAATCTCAAAAGAAGCCCATCCTCTTCTAGCTCACACTTTCACTTTTGGTTAAGAAACCTTGATATTGTTAAATTGTTCAAATTAAGCTTAAATCTGTGTTTCTGATATTTTAGTTGGTTCTTCCTTCACACCATTTCGACTATTATTTTTCAGGATCTGTGAAAAGGCCGTGAAGCTGGTTACTTGGATTTTCACAAAGATATGCATTTCTAGGAAATCAGACCTGTTTTGTTTTGTTTTGAAACACAGTCCTTATTGTTGTTTACATGCAAGTCCCACTCTTGTGTGTATGAACATTGACCGAATGTGTATTTTAAACCACAGGAAGACCGAGAGGAGGATGAAGATATTGACAGCTTGGTTAACTTTCATAAAAGGACGCTGGCTTCGAGCTCCTCCAGCCTGCAAAGCTCGAAGGTAGAGTACTGAAATCTCTCACAGCCTGCGTTAGAATTTCTCACAGCCTGCGTTAGATCTCTAAATGCTCTTTGAAGAGACGCTCGTTACTTCTCTCGGAACGGAAGTGATTTATAAAAGTATCTGATCAAGCATCTACAACCTCAAGATTTCCTCCAGCAGTCTACCAAAGGGTTTCCATAGTTACCAAAGGCTCAATCCAGAGTGACAGTATGAAAGTTAGCTGGCTTTATCTGTGCTTTACCTTAAGAAACATCTTGATCTGTATCTTGTTTTGTTTTTTTTGGTTCTGGCTCATTTTCTTTTAACCCTCTTTTGTTCTACTTGTCATTTCAAGCTTTCAAAACTGTGACCCACTGCTTTAAACCATTAGATAATGTCTGTTTAAATATAAACTTTATGTCAATATTTGTTGTAAGTAACACTTAAACAAAAAGAAAATAAAACAATTACTTAAAGGAGGTGTCTGGTTTCTCCAGAGCACATTGGGCAGCCTGATGAGTATTTACAGTGAAGCCGGAGACTTTGACAGCGTGGAGGTGAGCGGAGACATCACTTTCTCCTTGAGCTACGATGAACAAATCCAGAGCCTCCAGGTCATCATCAAGGAGTGCCACGGGCTGGCTCACGGCGATACCACACGGCACCTTTCCAACCCGTAAATATCGAAAACTTTCCTTTTATGACTTCATGCAAAAGCTCCACTAAACAAACATAAACTCTGACATTTACTTTGAGCAGGTGTGCTGAGTATGGCTCGTTACACACCTTTCTCCTGCACACACACGCTCACATCCTTCTTGTGATGTTAACACAGCTTTGATCAGTTTAGATAAGAGGTTTCTGTGTTTACAAAGTCACCATAATCACATCCCACATGTTATTGCTTTAGCTTCACAGGAAATTGAATTTTTCTATAGAAATACAGCTCAAGCCATTCCCAGGAGAGCACTAATTTATAATTTTTTCTGTCCTTGTGTTCCAGTTATGTGAAGTGTTATCTACTTCCTGACAAATCTCGCCAGAGCAAGAGGAAGACCGGCATCAAGAGAAACAGTGTGAACCCGGTTTACAATGAAACGCTGAAGGTGAATGTTTGTAACGGATGTTTCTCTTCTAACTGTTACACCTGACATAATGCCTTAAAGACTTCCTTGTTAGTCACCTTGAGTCACGTCTGATGTAAATAATGACCACGCCTGCAGAGACCTTAAGATTGTTATTGACACTGAAGATTAGAATAGCCATTGTCAATATTGATTTTGGTCCTGGCCTTTGCATGTAGAGTGAGCTACATGCCCCCAAGGGATACAGCAACAACTCAAACTGAACGTTTGGACTGCTCCACCAATGTAACTGTACTGATACAGGCCTTTCATCCATCCCATCTTCTCTCCCTCACCTCCCTCCAACAGTACTCCATCGGTCGCTCCCAGCTCTTCACCCGCTCTATGCTCATATCAGTGTGGCATCATGGTCGCCTCAGCCGCAACACCTTCCTGGGGGAGGTGGAGATCCCTTTGGACAGCAGAGACCTTAGCTCCCCATACGAGGAGCGCATGGCTCTCATGGCGAAGGTAGGTCTGAGAAACTGGCGCCAAGACCAAAACAAATTACGTTTAAAATCAGAGGCCTAAAAACAATATTTTGACCCATAGCAGCATATTTTAGGGAGAATGGATTTATTTGTTTTTGTCTGTTTATCCATTATGTACAAAAATCTGATTCTGATTCTGAAAACAAACTACTCAAGGAAAAACACCAAAAGATGTTTCCCACACTTGTGTTTGTAGCCTCAAGTTACAACAACATGTAAGATATGTGACTGCAATGCTGGTTCATGTCCATAAGTTGTTGTTTTTTTGCTAAATTTGAGCGTAGTGATCACTGCTGATCAGATAATGTGAAACATTTTACTTACTGATGTTGATTGGCTGTGAGAGGAAGAGCTCAACTATTACAGACCTACTAGTGGTTCTCATGTGGCCGTCGATGTGTTGCTCAGCAGATGTTGCAGCACATAGAAGTATGAAGATTGTGGTGTTTTGATTTCTTGCGTCCTAAATACATTGTACCTTTCTCTGTCAGGCCTCCTATGCTGTGCCAGCTTCTTCTTCTTTTGTTCAAAACAAAGGAGAGTTGGTGATCTCTCTGAAGTACGTCCAACCTAAAAAGCCAACAGCTGAGAGAGTAAAAGGTGAGACTACGCTAAGAAAACGGCATTTCTCCTCTGGCTGTTTTTGACTTTGCCTTTAATTTTTCTGTGTTGTTCTCTTCAGGAAAAAAGCAGCTGGCCGAGGAAGGAGGAGAACTGCATGTTCTAATTAAAGAGGCGAAGAATTTGATGGCAATGAAACCAGGAGGCACCTCAGACAGCTTTGTGAAGGGGTTAGTGATATTCCCTCCAAAGTCTCTGTTCATATTCAAGCTTTTTTTTTTTTTCTGTTCAAGACTTATGCTGTGTTTGTGGTATTGCAGGTACTTGTTCCCAACCAAGGCCAAGGCCACAAAGAGAAAGACTCCGGTTGTGAAGAAAAATCTGAACCCCCACTATGACCACACAATTGTGTATAAGGATCTGACTCTGGAGCAGCTGAAGGGGATGTGTCTGGAGCTGACGGTGTGGGACAGAGAGAGGCTGAGTAACGAATTCCTGGGAGGAGTTCGTCTCAGCTCTGGAAACGGTAAAAGTTACAATTTAATGAATCCAGAAATGTTCTCTTTATTTCACATGGCTCTCAGGGCGATTCAGTTTCGATTCTTGGGGTCATGATTCCATTCAGAATCTATTGTCGATTAAAAATGATTCTGGATTTATGATTCAAAGTCTGTTTTTGGATTAGTACATACTTCAGGATCTACTCCTGTCATCTGTGAGACTGGCTGAATTTCTTGCTGCTCCATTTTGCATTGACTGACCAAAATTTGTTTTTTGGAAGTTATGAATCCATTTAAAATCTTAGAAGATAAGAATCTCTATCTTTACATTAAACAAATGTTTTACCCACCTGTACTGTGAACTGATCTAAACCACTTGTGCAAAAGAACATTAGCCAAGACAACATATACAGCACCCTGTTCCTGTTGCTCATATAGGCTTTTGTTAACGGTTTCATTTATAAGTTGATGTGGAGCGGTAGCCTGTGAAGTCGTCAGCAGATTAGAAAAAAAAGATGAGGTGAAAAACAAGAAAGCAAGAGAAGAGAGTCTATAACCAGTCAATAACAGGTGATAGTCTCTGCACTAATTGTGTCTTCATTGTCTAATGTTCACTCCTGCAGCCACTGTCAAAATGGGAAAAGAGGAAGTTGAAATGGACTCATCTGGCGAGGAGGTCAGTCTTTGGTATAAGATGATGCAGTACCCCGACTCCTGGGCAGAGGGCACCCTTGTACTGCGCTCAACTATGGGAAAGGCTACGAGCAAATGAGGACAGCCCAGGCCCAGATCCATAGCCAAAAGGTGGACAAAAAGTGCCCAACAAACAGCTGATTGGCTGTATGCAGAAATGCAGTTCATTGGCCAGCTGGATACCAAACACCTGTACACACCGGTCTTGTTCTATGGGGTTAACTTTAGCCCGGACTGGTTAGAAATGTGCGTGATGTGTGTATTTATTTTAAGAGCAATTATGTTGTCATTTTATGTATATTTTTCAATAAAATTATTGATAAGTTATATAACATTAATCAAATGCCTGCACAGCACTTAGCATAGACTCACAATATGTTACCCCATTCTCTTTAACTGTGTACAGAATTATACTTATTAATTCTGAAAACTATTATACTGAAAACAAGTTACTGTTAACAGACATTGTTGTGCACTGTTTAATATACACAGTTATATTTTACATAAACACTCATGTCAAAAGATATATTTATACAAGTTTTACTTTTTATTATAAAATGTGTCTTTTTGCGGATATAAATGTACACTCAATAAAACCAGACAAATTAAAAACATGCTTGAATGTCTCAACTCTTTAACATTTGAATAACACTGAGGCTCCTTTCATCTGGTATCTAAAGCTCTTAATCGTTTTTTACAAAGTGTTTCTGCTTTATTATCTGTCACTGTTCTCTGGTCCCTGTGACTTCCAGCTGATTATTTGATACATAGTAAACAGTGCTAGTACTTCAGTGTAGTATAGTGATCACATTTAAACAAACCCAGTTCCCTCTGTCCTCTTTCAACCTCCTGATGTCCCTGTGGACCTCTGGTGTCTGCTCGTTTGGCCTTTCTCATCTCGTGTTAGTAATGCTGATGTGTTTATCACCGTGGGAACCAGAGTCAGTAATTTAATGTTCGTCACAGAAGTCTCTGTGGAGCTCCAGCCTCTCCCTCTCCTCTTCGTCCATCACGAAGCTGTCGATGTAAGAGAACAGCTCGTCTGACCCCAGCGGGGCAATGAAGCGTTCTCGGTCCAGTCCGAGCTCGTCCAGCAGGACCATGCTGAAGTAAGTTCTGGAGATTCTGAATATTTGTCTACAGATACACACAAATCAGCAGAGAGATTATTTAAAGTTATACTCCGCCATGCTTAATAACATTACAGAAGATATAACCATCGTTAGTAACAAGTTAATAACTCACTGGATAACATGACGTTGGGGCTATTTGTGATAAATTGAGAGATAATTATGCTTCTCAACAGTTCACCCCGATCTATAACCCTGTTTCGATGCTAAACAATGAGCTGACAACCTCAAACTGAAGGGAAAAACTAAACATCCACACAAGCCCTCTCTTTCATTATTCACAGTCTCTTTATGACACATCATTTGAGAATATTCCTTACTTCAGGTCTTTGTTGATGTTCACTGCATGTTTCGTGGAAACACTTTGATGATGCTTGTTTGTTTACATTAGTGTTAAACCCTAAGGAATGTCTCTCTAAATAAATACTTTCCATGTATGTTTTCTACTGTCAGATTGCCTACATTTCCAGAATGTGCTCCAGTATGTTGATGCTCAACCTCAGCAGTGGGATTTGTGTTCAGTGGAGAGTCTTACGTTTTAGAAAGAGACTTTCCAGTCTGGAAAAAGTGAGCCATACCCCTTCCTCAAATTACACAGAAGCTGGAAAAATCTATACACTGTATCTGCCGGTTCTATGATTAATGAATCCTTTTAAGCTCGTGTCTGTATCTGTTACAAAATGATGGACATTTATAGTGTCTGGTATCCATTGATTCCCCTTAGAAAAAAAGCCAGATGTTTACTATTGAATTTGTTCTTTCAGTCCTGTCAAAAAAAAAAAAACACATTACGGCAACCCTGGATTTAGTATTTCCTTTTAAAGCCAATCTCACAAAGGCTTCATTTTCACTAGGAGGCTCCTGACATTTAAATAGTAGAGGAGAAGCAAACGTACTTAATGAAAATGAAAGGTGCATGGAACCATTTCAGGAGGGACATTTCATTTGAGCTAAATCCTCCTCCAGAAAGAACCATAAAACTGCTGAGTAGCAAAGTGATTGCGCTTTTATAATACTATTACCTCAAACCCTCGATGACTTCAGGGCTGAGCATATTTTCTTTAATACGTCCTGTCTCGCGCGGCGGGGAGCCCAGGAGCTCGATCACAGTTACATGTCGCAGGTCCAATCCACAATCTGCTTTCTGTTTCAAAAAGAAGAAAAAAGGGATTGTGATTCAAACTTCCTTAAAGCTTAAAGGTTCATGTTGTGTCCGGAGCTGAACGTCTCCTCACTTGTATCATGAGGTTCTGCAGCTGGTAGTCTGTGTCTGATATGTTGGGCGCAGACATAATCAGCAACCTCCTCTTTTCATGAAACTGATCCAGAAGAGCAGAGACCGTCTTCACGTCTGATTTGATCTCCATCGCTGCAAACACACAAGGTCACAAACTGTAATTTTTAAACCACGTTAAAAATGTAAACTATATGCAGGAAATGCCACTTTGATGCAGACTCACGAACACACTCAGCAGGGGCTCCGTCCCAGTTGCGGTTGAACTGACAGACTCGACTTGATTTCCCACTCAGCTCGTATCCTCCGTCACAGTGATATGCACACGTTGCACCGTAGTTATTTCCATCAGAGGAGCAGCTGAGGTAGCCGTGCATAGGTGGAGGCAAAACTGGACATCTTCTCACTGGAAGGGGGAGTGCAATAAGAAATCCAGAGCTGTGAGGGAATTCAGCTTTATGGGTCCATCAGCATCTAAACTCATTAAATAGACAAATGGCAGCTTACCTTCAACACGTACAATAAACTTGCATGCAGCTCTGTTCCTGGCTTGATCGTACACTTTGTAACGAATGATGTTTGCTCCCTCCTTAAAGTCAGTGCCTGGCTCCTGGCCTACTAATATTACACTGCAGACAGACAGTACAATACAACATTAACAATAGAATCATCTTTATTTATAGAGCACTTTTCAAAACCAGTGTTACAAGTTAAGAACAGAATTTAAAACAAAATCCAAAGTGAAATAAAAGTAAAATCAAGAAGCGAGCGACATACTCGAGGGATTTATCTGCAGTGTCAGTCGCAGCAGGCGGGTCCCAGGTCACCACAGCGGTTAGTTTTCCAGGCTCTGCGACCTTGAGTCTGGATGGGGGACACTTGATCTTTGGAGGATCAGTGTCTGAAATAGTTGGGAATAAATCAACAAAGTCAGAGGTTCTCGATTACAGCCCAAAGCACAGAGGAGCAGGAAATAAACTTGTTTTAGTGTCACTGAAAGTCTGGATAGAATAATGAATAACTTGACAAAAGTACAGATGGTCTGAATTTAGGTCCATGTTATTGCAGTAAGCTCAATCTCGAGTTCAAAATATCAGGCGCAGGGTTTCAGAAAAGATATACCAAAGAACTTCAATTCATAGCCCGGGCTTTATTTACTTAAGTGTATGAGACCCTGTCTTTATTTGGGACTTAGGAGACAAGCCTCTAATTATTTTCAAACAAATATCAAAGATAAGAAAGAATATAACATTGTTAATTTACACCAGAAACTGTGCACAAAGTTAGGATATCAATGAACACATTAAGTTACAAATGAAGAATTTGATTTGACTTTTTTAGACAGTATGCTAACCTGGTGCCCGTCTAGTATACATACCAGCACTATTCTGTCTTTCTTGGACAAGATGTTAAAGTTCATCTTTATCTTTTGTGTCCAGCTGCTTTTTCTCCTTATCTTAAATCACAAACTAATCAGCACTAAATACACAGGGGCCTCTGATTGAGACCTGCCTTTATTTGTCAAAAAATGCAGCTACACAGCAGGCAGGTTAAGTGGGCCGAGGCCAATGGCTTAAATTGGGATGGGCTTTTATTCAAAGTTTTACAGTATAAAAAAAAGACCTTTTAAAGTACCTGCACAAAGTGGCGGCACTCCGCTCCATGACCCCCCATGCTGACATGTGCGTGAGTGTTCCCCCTCGATGCGATAGCCTGGGTCACAGGTGAAGTCACACCTGGAGTCCACCACTAGGCCATGAGTACATGTGTATCTGCCGTGTGGGATGAGATTCAGGACATGGCAACGCATCTCTGAAGGAATATCGCCATGCAGACAGACAGACATCACAATGAATTTCAGGGGAAAAAAGTAAATGAGAGTATAAACTGCTCAAAGGTTAAAGTTATTACATATCACATTCTTGACTAAATCCAACAATAGGTTATTTCTTCACTCAGTACTTTATAATATCTACAGAACCCTGCATTCAGGTGGTGTCAGAATATTCTGAAAATGAGTCCTCAGCTTAAAAAAATCACATGGAAACTGGGGAAAATAAAAACTTAGAAAGTCTGACTACATTTTGACATTACTACAACCTTGACCCAAACAGCATCCTGTCTGGTGGTTTGGAGTGTTTTTCTTCACCTGAGCATTGAAAATGTTGAAATCTTTTTAACTTGCATTGTTTGCAAAGACAGTTGACAACTTCTGCCTACAATTGAACCACCTCTGCTTGGTGTCAGATGCCGCTTGGGATGTTTGCCAGAAACGTCAATTTTCAACACCACAAAATATTTTTTAAACACTTAAAATGTTGTAAAAGCTGTATCACTATTTGATTATCAGAAGAAAAAAAACTTGTTAGTTGGGTCAATTGTAGATTTGGCGGGTTCATTAGATTGGCTTAATATTACCAGATTTATTCTCATATGTAAATCTAAAATCTCAGCGTCCACATACGGCGACAGAAAGCCGTCCCGGACCAGCGTCGGTTGGCGAGGCACTGGATTGAGCTCCTGCCCAGCAATCGGTATCCTCGATCGCAACTCATCTCACAGCGGGTGCCCAACGTGCTCCTGTAGGCCCCGCCTCGAGGTGAGTGACAGGTCACCTCCCCATTGGTCAGGCCAGGAGAATGACACCAGTGTGGGTCTGCGTTAAAAAGTGACAGAACACAAATATGTGTGAAGGACTCGTGGTGCAAAGCAGAGTTCTGAAGGGATACCTGCTATAGGTGATGTCACCTCAGACACTTTAAACATAAAAGTTTGAATTGAGGTCTTTAAAGCAGAGTAAATGTTTGGATACTGGCTCAAAATACACTCATTTTAGCAGGAGATTGTGTTGAGAATTTGTGTGTAGATGTGGGTGCAGATGTTAGCGCTGTGGTTAGATGTGAATGTGTAGTTGTCTGTATCTATATGTCAGCCATATGATTGACTGGCGACCAATCCGACTCTCGCCCAATGACTGCTGGGATCGGCTCCAGACAACAGCGACCTCGAACTGGAAAAAGCTGTATAGATAAAGGATGGCTGTGTGTGTAGATAACAGCAAATCTGTGTTTTGTTGTATACAAACAGTCATCCACAGTGCGTTGCAAATATTTGTTAGTTTAAATGTAAATTCTGTGCAAACCAGATTCAATTGTATATAGCCTAACCATAAAAAAAAGATAAAGGGAATGAAGTAAAAGAATCCCAATATAAAACCATTACAATCTGAGCAAACATTTACAATGAAGCCAGAGCTGTAAAGAAAAGGCCAGATCAATCATTTTAAGGAAAGTTTTTCTTTTTAGAATGAAAGTACTATCACAAAAAAAACACACAAAGTTAGCTTTTAGATTTTTGTCTCAGAAAGGCTTTAAGTCAACAAATGTGTTCATACTGTTTATCCTCCTGACTTAAATGTGTGCGACATTGCAGAAGTTGTTATACTGGGATGAGAGACCACAGTGTATAAGGTGATGTGAAAATGAAAACTCATAGACAGTACGTAACAGTCTGTGGTCTGATTGTTTAAAGAGACATTGCCCTCTCCTTTCCATACCTTTGTAGTCTAGTTGAGGAGTGTGGTATTCCTCTTCAAAGTCATTGTATACTGTGGTGCCAGAGAGGGCTGAAAAAAAAAAAACACATGTCAGAAGTCAAACATGGTTCTACAGTCAGTCAAACAATATGAATATAGGTCATTCAGAGACAGGCTGGCACAGACACAACTCTCTACACAATCCTTTACTTCCTCTCAGGTTTCCTCTAACACAAGCTCAATAACATTTCAGTGCACAGACACCTGGATTTACTATCAGTGATGCTAATGGAAACTCCAGGAGGGTTTGAAGAGTAGAGAAACATGGAAATCTCTCAAATGGAGTAGAGATTGTTATCGTGAGTTGAAGGGACAGAGCTTAAAGTAGATAAATGAAAAGAACAAGCGAGCTGAACTTGATATGGTGAAGTCTCCTGTAGCCTCATGGAAATAGCAGTAGTATCACCACAAACTAGGGCAGACAGCATATTTTAATTGCTCACTTGGAGAATTTCCCTCTTACTCATCCCACTTGTGTGCAATACTTTGGCCTTTATTCCTATTCCTTTTCTGTGAATTCATCACTTTGCACAGTATACACTATCTAGTATTATCCTCCTTTCTCAGAAGTTGAGGTTCAGTCACATTATCCCTTTTAAAAATCCCTTTTGAGAGTGACTCTGTGTTTAGAGCTGAGTGCCAAACTTTCCAAAGTTTCTGTCAACCTTCCAGCCCCTTCTTAAATCAGTTCCTGTTTTCTTGCACAGTTTCCCTTCAGCCTTACAAAGTTCACTTCAACACCTTTTCTAATAATAATAATGAGGCGTATTAAACTCCCCTCGCTGCTTCAGATTGTTCCAGCGGCGTGTGGATTACAACTATCGTCAGCGTTTTTCTCGTAACGATCCTGATGTTCCACTCAGTAACCTTTCCCCAGACTAATATTTCTCCAGTCTCCCTCACAGAGAATTAGTCACAGAAGAAATAAGCAAGCTCATCAGGCAGCTGCTCTGCACTGCAGGCTTTCAGGTAAAGATATGACCTCAGGTGACATGCATCATCATGCATATGGCAATTAAAAAAACTGTACTTTTCATTACTTCTAATGCAGTTCTTACTTCTGCAGCACTATGTCAGGCGTCTATTTTAGTGCCACTACATTAATGGACAGATATATAGCCTACATTTAGGCCACTTATTTGTTTTATGCCATCTTGGATAAAGCTTCTGTAACCAATTTAAGAAGGATTTTTAATCCAGGAATTTTACTTGTGATGTGTTGTATTTTCACATTCTTGCAGCATTTATTTACTCAATATAAGTAAGCTATCTGAACGCACCTTGAACACAACCTTAAGTATTTAGGTTGTAGAATACGAAGACACTGACACACACTGTGCGTCAGATCAGACATCACTCATGGCACACAGACGTGCAGATAGAAGCTGAGTCATACCAAAGTGATGTGTGTAGTTTGTCAAAAAGGCCTCATGTAGCTCAAATGACAGAGGGAAGGTAATGACCAGCAGCCTTTTCCCCACTCTGCTTTGTTAACCCCCTGAGGTTGTATGTGTGTCTGGGTGCTTACTTGGTCCCCGTCACCTCCCAGTAATTGGAAGTAATCTGTTATCAAAGCAGACAGAGTATCGCACCTGAAAAGAAACAACATCTTCTGACTGGGTTGTGGCCAGTTGCATGTTGGGAAATGTTGTGAGGGAACTTCATTCCCAACTTTTCATCCCCAGAGGGAAAGATTCCACTCAATTTGCATTCATCAAGTCGGCCTCAAATATTCAGCACATCTGCGTCTCATACAATTGTTGATCCTTCAGAGATGAAGGTATTTCCCAATCGCAGAAAAGGATGTGGCTGTTTGAAGTCATGCATACAAAAAGCATTCACATTAAAATACAGCCAGCTTTAAGAAGGCCTGAAAGTCTTGGGCAAAAGTCCCATTTAAGAACGGTATGCTTCTATATGACAGTTTTTGTTTTGTGTGCCACAGTCAAGAAAAGGTTACAATATTGCTTGAGCAATATTGAGCTTATTCTTGAGCCTATAATAAAAAAAAGTAAACTACCCAAGTAGAATAACTCAAAATGTAGGCTATAGGCAATAGTACCCTATTTAATACATTTTCCTATTTCCTACCGCTTCTCAGAAGTGGCTTGACCGAGTTTTTTTCCGACTTTTACTGTTCAGTCTTACCTGTGAAGTATAAAATGAACACAGCAACAAAGCAGCTGAGCGGCATGTCAGAGACACAAAGATGACTCTCCAGCAGGGAAAAAGTTTGCTGCGCAGGTCAGTTAAGATCCTACAATCCAACAAAACTAAAGTAGCATCAAATGTATGCGCAAGACAAAGTCAACAACGAGATACAGGCTTAAAAAAAAAAAGTTGTATTCCATGTTGAAGATGAGAGGAATACAGTTTCCAGCAGAGTCTCCGCAGTTTTGAAGAGCGGGGATCCTTCTGGATCGTCAGCAAAGTCAAAAGCCGCTTGGTGTCGCTCTCGGGCTCTTCATGATCACTTGTTTCCTCCCACTGCTGCATTAAACATGATGACTGCCATCAAACCCAACCCCTCTCAAACACATGGAAAATATTCAAGACACAATGATCACAGGTTAAATGTAGTTGAAAAATAATCGCTCTTTCTAAATTGACAGAATTATTAGGCTAATGACTTTAAATTACTTTCATTACTTCCAGAGATTAGGCTACACACATTTTTAATTTCCCCTCATTTTAGCCTCATGGTTAGAATTCTATTTATATTTATTGGCTATATAAACCTCAAGTTTATCTAGTTTTTAAAATATAGCCTGCTTTATTTTTAAAAAAGAGCTTCACAGCCATGAAATAGGTTAGTCTCACACAATAAATTCAAAATGTCTAAATGGTAAGATCGTTTGAGTCACCTCAGTGCCATGTTATAGTGATTTACTTACACGGTTAACATAATTCAGTATAGCCTATACTTGTTTCTTTGTGGTCTATCTATGGCATATAAAAGTAACGTGTCACATCATGAAAAACACGATAGCCTACATCTCATCATAAAATCAGACAGCATGTGGCAGAAAATGAAACGCCAAAGCCTTTTTTTTTTTCAAAATAAAGCATTCCGTTTCCAAAATAAAAGAAAGTTTCAGATTTCAAAATATGTGGGGGAAAGTAGACTACAGGCTACTTTCTGGTAGGCATGATTAGTATTCAAATAGCCTTTGTGTCAAATGTTGTCATTTTTTAAATAATGTAAAAATGGTTAGACTTTTAGGTCTATCCTATCCTAAAGCTGGATTTATGAATACCTATTTTTTAAACTAATTAACTATTGTCCAAATTTAAATCCTGCATAGCCTACATATTTAACTGTAGACTGCGTATCAAGCACTTCATACAGTAACTGCACACACTTGTTAGAATACTTTTGGTTTATAGGCTATCAATAAAAATCATTATTATGCTTACAGAATAAAATGGAAAAGTAGCCTTCGGAAGTCTTTTATTTCCAGGGTCATGTATGAGCAGTGTGTATTACTGCTGACTTGACACAGCTCTGGATCATGGAGGAACCATAGGGAGGAAATCTGCCTTCAGGAAAGTGATGTGTGTTAGTGACGACACTTCCCCCCTCTTTCCTCTTCTTGGATTTTATCCCCGAAGTTTTTTTTTTCTCGCCTCCAGGGCGCTGTGAAGTAAACTTTTCTCCCCTTTTTTCCTCCAGTTTAAAGTTAGAAGAACACTAAAAACAATCACCGACATGTCGCCGCCGTCTCGACGGCTTCAAACGAAGCCAGTTATAACTTGCCTGAAGACTTTCCTCATCTCCTACAGCCTCATATTCTGGGTGAGTTGTTGTAACATAATGGGGGACGACCAGCTACAGGAGCAACAATGGGCTAAAAGCGGCGCTGCTGCCAACAACACTAATAATGCTCAAACCACGACAGTGACACGAACAGAGCTCAATATGTTGAAAGACGGCTTACTTCCGTAGGATAAAAGCAGAGTTGTTTGTGTGTGTTGACATAAAGAGCCACTTGTTGAGACGTAAAGACCGTCGCTGTTGTTCAGATTTATCCACGATACGTTATTGTAACACGACACTGATTGAGAAATAAACATATTGTATCGAACTAGATCTTAGTTGTTACAAGTGTAACACTTTCAGCTGAAGGTCAGATTCAACACACAGATGTTGTTCAAATCGGTTTTTATCATAATTAAGCTTAAACGGCGATCTTCGATATGTCGATTATTACGATTTAGTTTTGAATGTGTTTTTTTCCCCTTGCAATGTTAATTCTTTAAAATTGGTGAATAAGAGTCAATAGTAGGACTGCAACAAGCTGATTAATAATGCTTCTAAATGTTGGCTACACCAGTCCTTCAATCGGACCAAATTATAGTCTAATAATAATTATCCTATACGATAATAATAATAATAATGATAATAATACAGAAATATTTTACTTCTACAATGATGCAGATTCGCCTTATTTTCTGTTGCTCGTCTTGTCGATTCATAATGGAGCTGAAGTTTCATAATCAATCTTATTCTTTCTTTGTTATGATGATAACTTTATAGAACACATGAGACTGCAGGACATATAGCCCACTTAAAGCTTTTTTTACTGTATTATTTTATTTTATAAACATAATTCTTAACAAATAGACTAAGTTTCATGTTCGCTATGCTGCAGCCCCGGTTGCTTATGGAAACTGTAAACTTGAGCATTCAGGAGAAAATGAGTCCTTATCGTTGTTTTTCATCTTTGTACTGAACAAACAGCCATCTCATCCTGCTGCTGAAACAAAGTTCAGCTAAGTGCTTTTATCTGGCCATTTATTGCTCTCGCCTGGTTTAGCTGATGTTTTCCCTTCAGGCTAATGACATGTGTGGGAAGTCCTAAAGCAAAAGATGCAGTGCTGATGAAACCTCAGGCTGATAGTCAGGTAAACCAGGTGTGCTTACCGGGATATTTGCAGGTGAATAAAATGCGTCACCACATGAATCATCTACCCTTTTGATGAGAACAGAAGAAGAGTTTGTCAAGCCTATCGTGTTTTTCCCCTTTAAACCTTTCTGTTTCTCCTCATCAGCATTTCTTCCCCAGAGAACAGTCTACCTTTAATACGAGGAAATCAAAGAGGCAAATTGTGTTTGTGCTGGATTCAGCTCATCATGGTTCTTAATTAAAGGTGTCCTGTGTATTTACCAGGTTCGCTGAAGATTCAATTCCTGTCGTAGCTTGTACAAAGTGACAACTTTTACTTGAACTGCTCTGTTAGGAGAAAAGAGTATTCCTAAGAAACATGATGAGAGAAGAGGACGGCTTGTTTTGAATGCAGGTTTTAATCATTTCAATATCCATAATTCTTTTATTGATATATTTCAGAATCAGAAATCCTTTATTAATCCCAGGGGGAAATTTATTGGGATGTCTTGATTTTGAAGTATTGTCTAAAAAACAAAGCAAAACAAACAAGTTCGACAAAGCCATCTCATGTTCCCAATAGAATAATAATACACAACAGAATAAAGGGATGATTTGTCTTTTCGCCGCTCTGCCACAGGCACACCTAGTGCTCAGTGGTATCACATTTATGTTTTATACGTCATGTCAGATAGTGTTACTCTGGGAATGATACCGTTAAGTATAATTACAAAGAGTCATTTCTGTAAAATACATGCACACTTATCAATCAAAGTTCAAAACATGACTGAATCTGTCTGATTGAATGAAGCCAGAATGATAAGACTGAAGAGACGCTGTGGCTCTTAGGACTGAGCTGAGTAAAGTGATCCAGATCACACACTGCTTTATGTTATCTTCTAAATGCTTGTTTTATACAAATGTTTTCTGCTTCACCTTATTACTACTTCACACTTGATTGTTTGTAGAGATATCATCAGAGAAACATTACGTGTGCAGAGGTGATGTTCCTGGAGCACAAAGTGTTATCTTCAAACTGCTTTTTTTGTTCAACCAACAACCTCAAAATATTCTGAAATGTGCTAAAAAAAAAGGTAGAAATTGAAGAAATCATCAAATCTTTATGATTCTTTGCTTTCACAAAAAAAAAAAGTCATGTTCAAAACTCCATTTGTTCATGTTTGGAATCTGATAACCATATTCTTTTCAATACCAGTTTGAAGTTTGTAAAATATATATATTGTGAAATGTTAATCTGTCAAATCCTGATTTGACCTGTTTGTTTTTAGAAACAGAAAAGAACGGACACAACATTCATGCAATCGTTTAGATTTTTGTCACATTCGAGTGATATGGACATTTTGACATTTCTCCAAACCTGAGTAAACCTGAAGTTACTTTTTTGTTACTTAAAGTAATTAAAGGCAAAACCTAAAGAGTGAAGATCTGATTGAAAGGTGCCTATCTAGTGTAAATGGTGTTCTGTAATTAAGCTTTAAATCTTAGGTTTTGTGTCAGAAGCAGCTCTAAAAACCTGCTCATCTCTCTCTCTCTCTCTGGCCCTTTGATGCCGGAGCTTAACTCGCCCTGCTGTCCTCCTCAGGTCACAGGGGTGATCCTGCTGGCCGTCGGGGTGTGGGGGAAAGTGAGCCTGGAGGACTATTTCTCCCTCTCCTCCAACGAGAGCAGCACCAATGCACCATATGTCCTCATCGGGACCGGAGCCACCATCGTTATTTTCGGATTGTTCGGCTGCTTCGCTACGTGCCGCGGCAGCCCATGGATGCTCAAACTGGTGAGTGAAGCTGCAGTCACTCCCTCACAAATTCTCTTCTTCACATGTGAGCCTGTATGACATTTGTTCTTCTTATTGCTTCCCTCAGTATGCCATGTTTCTGACCCTGGTGTTCCTTGCTGAGCTTGTGGCTGGTGTCTCAGGCTTTATCTTCAGACATGAGGTGGACTACTCTCCCAAAACATTACTGTAATAAAAACAAAACAAAAAGGATCACATCAGCTCACTAAAATGTTTCATCTTCTTTCTTCTTTTTTTTTGACTCACCAGATCAAGGCCAAGTTAGACGTTGCCTACAAGCACGCCGTTGAGTCCTACAACAGCACAGACAGCAGCAGCATTGCCGTTGACGCCATCCAGAGGAATGTGAGTGGGAGCTTTATCAGTACACTTGTGATGTCGCTCTTTTCTGACTTTGTTTGTGTCTCACTTTTAAAAAAAAAAAAAAAACAATACCTCCAGGTTATATAAACTCAAAACCAGACAACGGAGAGCAGTAAAATATTCGGCACTGCTTTCTGTGGGTTTAAACTTTCAGTCATTCTGCTCTCGTGTACAAGAGCAGATGTTTTCTCTAAAAGTGACACTAAACATCTGCAGTGAGGTCACTCATATCGATAAAGTAATATCCAACTTTTCTGTTTGTTATTGAATCCCTTTCCAAGGTCGGGGAATTTCTCTAACTTTTGTTTCTATCTTTTTCCCGTACAGTTGCATTGCTGTGGGGTGACAAATTACACTGACTGGGTTAAAACAAAATACTTTGCAGAGAAAGGAATCCCTGCCAGCTGCTGTAAAGACAGCAACAACTGTAAACCTGAGATCCTGAAGGACCTCGACAAGGTTCAGACCGAGGTGTACAACACGGTGAGCTCAGTGGTGTCACCAACAGCATGAGATTTGTGTCGTTTTAATCTAGCTAAATGGCTTTATGTTCTCACTCAATGCAACAACAACAGAAGTCATCATCATCCATCATTTGTCTGCTTTGTAGGGTTGCTTTGCACTGATGACCAATGTTATGGAGGCCAACCTGGGAATCATCGCAGGGATCTCTTTTGGAATAGCATTCTTTCAGGTACATAGCACCCTGTGCCCTCCTCTACATGTTTCTCCATACATGATATCATCTAATAACAGTGAATGATGTGCAAAAATAAACCTATAGAATGATTAAATCCCCAGTGTAAAATAGTTAAAGATGGCCTTTGCTGTTTTCTCTGTTTAAAAAAACTGCTGAATGGGGTGCTGGTGGCACAGTGGTTAGTGCGCGCACGCCACATGTAGGCTGTAGTCCTTCAAGCGGGCGGACCTGTGGCTCCCTTCCCAACTCTCTCTTTTTACCTGATTTCCAGCCTCATCATATTTTCCTGTTTGTTTTTTTTGTCTCTAACCAATCACATGCAGGGTTTTATGTTGACATGTTTATTAATAAGTGGTGTATGGTGTATTTCAACTGGAAATGTTTCTCTGTCTTTGTGTTTCATGTATCAGCTCATTGGGATCTTCCTGTCGTGCTGCTTGTCTCGATACATAACCAACAACCAGTATGAAATGGTCTAACAGTGATATTTCCACAGGTGAGTTATTTTTCATGCTGCAGTGATTCCATGTCCAGTATTTTCACAATCGAAGGCGTCTCATGTGTTTTCTGGTCTCTCCACAGGTTTCTGATGAGCAGCTCTGAATGCAAACAGAGTTGAGAAAGAATCTCCTGTGATTTTCCTTTTTTTTTAAATGTGTATGTGTTAGTTGATATTCTTATTTTAGAGAGGGGAAAACACTCACTGCTTCTCCTTTTAATTCAGTGTCACCATGAGAAATGAGCAGGAGGGAGTCAAAAAGGGATAGTTTGACCAAAAATCAAAAAAAGGGACCTGGACATTTCATATCATGTCACTTCAGGGATTAGAAGAGGGATTTCCATTTAGCATAGACAACCTGTACAGTCAACTTTTCCATTAGGTTGTGTCCTTTTTTAATGCAGCTGCCTTATTTAGTAACCGTTCTTAAATGAGTCTGTAGTCGTGCAGATTAAATCTAGAGAGTAAGCTTATAAATCTTTAACTTCTCTGCAACACTAAGTGATCTTCTGTGAGGAAACCCTCGTAGCTTTAAAGATGGACGAGCGATAAAGAAAGGGATTTACAGTAAAGAGCTTTACTGATTCTGTAGCCAGTATTGTTGACTGTTCAGTGTGTGCTGATACAGTCGTCCAGCCAACTTTATATTCTGTTTTCAGTGTTAAATTGTTATTCTTTTGTGGATGCATGTGAAATTCTTGAAAAATAAAGACAATATTTAGTGTCTTTAACTGTGTGTGCTACCAATAATTTTATTTTTTTATTTGTTTGTTTAACATGGACATACAGTATCAATGGTGCTGTAACATTTAACCATGCACAAGTCCCGGATGCACTGCTTTTAGTGTTTTTAGCAAAATACTAATTTACAACAACACCTGTCCACGGGAGGCTTTTAGAAATAAAGATAAATAAAAAAGAGGAAAATGAAAACAGTTCAGTTATGAATGCAACAGGGATAAAATATGATAATGATGTGTCTCAGCTAAACAAAAAGAAAGACAATGACTGCACAAGATTTAAGTTGGAGGAAATATTTAGTCATTTTGGTACGAGTATCCCTCACAAAATACAACATGTGAAAGGCATTTCATTTTTTTAATAAAACATGTTTTATTTAGCTTCTGCAAAATATTTAAGGATAAAAACAAAGTTAGCATAGTACTATGGTAAAATGATGTTTTCTATGTTGAAAATATAAGTTTATTTTATTTATAAGGGGACCATGTACACTGTCAAACATTAATGTTGCCACCTGATGCATTTGACCAGAGTTAGTTAGAAGCTCATTTACATCAGCAGAATAACATCAGTTTATGTATATAAACATCAGTTTTAAAAAAATCACTGAAAAACTTAAGACATAACAGAATCACAGAGCAGTAAAACACACATCAAGACTATATTATTCAGCAATGTTTCCGTTTGTTTTTAGAGCTGCAGACAGAATTACAGTTCTTCATGTCATTGTCAGAGTGTTTCAATGAGTCGGGTCTTTCACAGAAGAAGCCAGCAGTGCGACCGAAGGGTACAGAATCATCCTCTGTTGAAGATTTTCTATTTTCTCTGAAGTTTTGTAGATTCCTCTGAACGAAACTTACTCCACATAATAGAGGTTGGGCCAAGTCATTTAAAATCTTAAGCGTAAGACATCAACTTGGGGCGCTGGTGGCACAGTGGTTAGTGCGCGCGTCTCATGTATGGAGGCTATGCTCCTCCAAGCGGGCAGCCCGGGTTCAACTCTGGCCTGTGGCTCCTTTCCCGCATGTCATTCCCGACTCTCTCTCCTGATTTCCATCTCTATCCACTGTCCTATCTCTCAATTAAAGGCACAAAAAGCCCAAAAATAAATCTTTTAAAAAAAAAAAAGCATAAAGACATCAATTTGAAAATAATCAAAACCCTCTAAACTCAGGAGATGATGCTTTTCAAGAATCCTATGATATTGAATACATGTTTTTCTGGAGTTATTAAGGTTTGTGTATACAGACACTCCAGCTTGCCCCCCAACATTAAACACAGTATGAAATATAATCCTTTTATGCCCAAAGGTCTTCGCACTATCCATTGAAGGTCACTGTTTGAATTGAGTCTCTAACATTTGCTGTGTTGAACTTGATGACTTTCAACATTTAGGATTTGAATCTAGTATTATGCCAAGATAAAATACATTTTTCACATGGTTTGATATGCATTGACCAATTCATTCGTTTCAATAGACAACTATTTTACTAAATGCTCAGAGGAATTTTGATATAAAAAAAAATTAGTCAACAACATCTGAATAATTTTAATTGTTGGTGTGCTTATGGATAATTTTCTCATTTAGGCCGTTAGTTGTCTAGTCCTTGGTTGACATCAATGCATGTCTTTTTTTGTTCACAGCTAAAATATGTCAAGTGTCATGGAAGGGAAATAAACTATAAAATATTCTCATTAAAGGTGCACTATGTAGATTTGGTAGTGACATTTGAAAGTTGGAGAAGTGAAACAATTGTATGCTTGTCTGAACTCATTACACAAACTTAATTCAAAGAAAAATAAAATGGGGTCTCTGGATCAAAGTTTGGAGCTAAAAAGTTACTGTTTCACTGTTGCGGACCCTCCACCATAATTTCTCACCTGGCATTTATCTTCAAACATTGTTCCAGGGACCACATTTCCCCCTGAGGACAGTTTGTGTATAGAGTTATGTAACATATACCACAGAATCTGTACATTTCTCTACCAAAACTCCATAGTGCACCTTTTAACCTGGAATCAGATTACCTCCATGTTTTTTAATATGATAAATTAACCAATTGCACATATCTTCACAAAGCCTTTAGAGTTGCAGACAAACTGCTTAAATCCCCATGTGCACTTCGTTCTTTCTTCATGAGCTTCTAAATATGTCTTAAAGTGGCCTACTATCATCCTGTCCCACTGCACATACTCCCCACAGAAGGAAAAAAAAAAAACTAACCAGGTGTAGTCTGTAACATTAATGAAGCAGCCTCCTCATCATTAATTACCCTTATTAAAAACACCTGTGCAGTGCTCGCAGCCCATATCAAACCTGCAGGGACCTCGTTGTCACAGAGCAGCAAACAAATCCATCTGGTAAGACAACGACTTCTTCAAGAAAAGAAATCAAGGTTGTGGTGGAATGAAGAAGCATGATATACTTCAGGTGCAGCGATCGTTGTAAATTTAGCAAAAAGGTCCACGGCAGAAAGATTTCCTAATCCGGCCACCAGATGGCAGCGCTGTGTAAAATATCTTTATAGCAGCTCTGTGAGCAGAAAAAAAGAAACTAAAACATAAAATCTTTTAAAATGTCAATAATGAATAATCGTTTTTTAAAAGATGTGAAACGCACACCCGACACTTAACGTTGCTACTGTGCCAACTTGCATCACTTGTTGCCTTCAGGCTTCAAACCGCCTGGAAAACATGCAAAGGTGTCGCCAGTAACAGCCAAATTCGTTAGAGTGACATCTTCACTGGGGTTTGTCATTGGTGCGTTTCGGATCAGATGCTCTCAGAGTCCGCCCTCAACCTCCAGGCTGCCCAATTGACTCGCCTGAAATATACTAAGAGGGCGGGCTTTCTATTCTTTTTCAGCCCAACCCGGCTCATCGGTTATAAAACAAGGGTGCAGCTGCCAGTCGTTTAAGGAAATTTTCACTTTCCTTCACTGCTGGTAGTGCGAAGAGCCTGAGAAGACTTTGGTTAACTAAACCACACGCCAACTAAGCTTTTCCTCAGGTTACATCGTGCTTCAGGTCAGTCTGCATCCTCTGGTTTTGTTTTTATTTTTTTTTATCTAATAGGCCTCTAAATGTAGTATTCAGCAGGGGTTTTAAACCAGGAAGTCAAGGTCATATTGATGTTATTTTAGCTTTAATGTTCACCTACTGTGACTGTTATTTATGCGGAAGTCGTGATGTATTGAGTTTTTTTTTTTTTTTTTGGGTGTGTGTGTGCAAGAAGTCCGGTTATGTTCAATGGATGAGATGAAGTACGAGCTGCCATCTGTTACATCAGATGTCCTGTAACCAAGCTGCACTCCTGTGTGGTGTGTACTTTTGCAGCCATCTTTACGGGGAACGATGACTTTTTGAGTGTAGACCCCTTTTTTTTTTTTTTTGCAAAGTTGAGACTTGATTTTTAAAGTTCAGGTTAACTTTGGTCTAATGCCCTCATGAGTAAATCGTGTGGAAGGAAATAATTGAATTGCTTTTGAAAATGTGTTTGAAGTAGGCTACTTAAATATGGGATTTTTCTTTAATATTTAATGTATCTTTCCTGCTCTCTTCCTCCTTGCAGCTCATCCACCGTGTGAAACTCCCAACAAGCACCCCACCTGTCAATTTTATTCTTTAACCAAGCCAACCTAAAGCCTTAAAATGATGCAGATCAGCAGCGACTCGGCCAGCAACAAGCACTCTCTCATCAACGTCATGCACCGCTTCATAGCAGCAGCCAACAACATGGACGAGACCATCATGGTGCCCAACCTGCTGCGAGACGTGCCTCTGGAGGAGCAGGCCAACGCTGCTGAGGTGGAGACAAACAACAATCTTGAACTGTCCTGTCCAAACAAGCAGAGGGACATGTATGAGCACTACCTGCTCCTCAAGTCCATAAAGAATGACATGGAGTGGGGTTTGCTGAAGAGGGAGATGAGCAGCGGCGCCAGCTTCCTGGAGATGGCGGTGAAGCAGGAGGAACAGCAGCCGGTCACCGGAAACCTGCCCCTCGACAACAACTCAGACCTGGAGCATCAGTTTCACTATCACCTCAGGGGACTGTTTGGAGTGCTGTCCAAGCTCACGCTGCAAGCCGACCACCTCACCAACAGATACAAGAGAGAAATCGGAGGAGGAAACTTCATGAGATAGAAGTCCCTACTTTTCCTCCTTTTTTGACCTTGTTACTGTCCTTTTCCCTGCTTGACTTGCACATGGGCTGTGTTGAGAAGGGTCCAACATTTCTATCCAATAGATCTCAATGGACAGTAGACTGACCAGGCTAACCACTTTGTGACTTCTCTCACTCCTGATTAGCGACACTCCGACTTCCCTTTTTTTTTTGTTCCCAAACTGACCTGAAGCCAGTGATACCTGCACAGGTGCCTCTGTCTCAGTGCAGAGGTCAACCCTCAGTGCACGGTGGAGGTTTTATTAAATCAAAGTCCAGATGAAGCGTAGCTCTGGTTAATGCAGAAACCTCCCCCCCCCCCCCCTCCTTTTTTGGTCTTTCATTTTCAAGTTTAGAGCTAAATTTGTCACCAGATTGTGGAGAAGAGAGGGAAAAAAAAAAAAAAAGGTCTCTGACTGTAGGAGAAATTGAATGCTGGTTATTCTGTCCCTCCTGTACATTTCTTGTTTTAACGCTGAGCTGAAGGGCTCTCACCCTCAGAGGTTTTAAACGTTTCCACTATTACTGTAACATGGCGTGCCTTGACTTTTATATGCCCTGTTCAGTTACCCTGCCCAATGTTTGACTGCTTTAATTGTTCATCAAGGTGTTCATGATGAATTTTTTTTTTTTTTTTTGTCCTTGGGTATTTCAAAACCAATTTTATATTAAAATAAATAATTTGACTCTTGCTGTTGTCTTGGTTTGGTTTTGTGCATGACAGGTTTAAAGGTAAAACCCTAGCTGCCTTGTTCTGTTCTTCTGTAGGTGATCAGCTTTATGTAACGTTGGGATTTAAAGTGCTTTAAGGATTTACTTAAAGGAGGACATCTTAAAGCGGCGTTACAAAACAGGTCACAGCTCTGATGCATAATTGTTATCTAAAACACCTTCTCACACTAAAACACACCGCTCAGAGTCAAAACACCTTGAATGTGTTTGCAGCAAAATAGAATATCCTGCTCTTTATTTGCTCTCTAGGATACAGTGAAGCAGTTTTTGATGCTTGTTAACAAATAACTATAAAGGCAATCCAAATGAAAAAAGTTTTGCTTTTTTTCCCACGCAACCTTTTATGAAAGATAGACTTCACTCATATCGGTTTCACCAGCTTATATCAGCTGTAACAACAAAACATTTAGCACTCAAGACAATTTTTTTTTTTTTTTTTTCCTTGGCCCAGTAACAAGTCTGACTATTACAGACAATTGAGTCACCCTAAAGGGTGGGAATGATATGAGCACTGTCAAGTGTTTTGACCTATCAAAAGTGATAAGACTATACCATTGAGACTATAAACTGGCTGAACAAATTGGGACCTGGTGGCATCAAGAACATGATCTTTGTAGAAGAGGTTTTCAATTACATACTTCTGCAGCTTTGTCAAGCTGAACATGATGTCGACAGTATGTAAGTGGACATTAAATTGATGTATTGGCGACGTTGCTCAAAACTGGTTTCACCCAACAGCTGCCACATCTATCCATCACAGGATGAAACCCTCCCCTTAGCAACAGTTCAGCCAGATCATCCAATCCGGTTGCAAAGGGTTTTTTTCCCCGCCCTCTCATAGGCACAGCAGTGATTAAGAGATTGCAGTGGGATGAAGGGCATCCAGGAAGAGAGTGGAGGGCAGGCATGGTCAGACAAAATGATGCTCCTCTGGCCAGCTTTAGCGAGCACGCCAGGGCAGGGAGTTTGCATAAAAAGTGCTGCGTGAGCCCTGCAGTGCACAGAGCTGCAGTCTCTTTCCACTCACAATGGTCCATACAAACGAACTGCATAACAAAATGGCTGTGCTGGTCAATGTGCCTCAGCCGACTCAGATAAAGTGGGTCAACCAAACTGGTGACAGCTGGCCAGACGGTATGTGTGAATGGAAAAGGAGTTTCGACCCATAGATTTAATTTGATCTGTTGTTAAATCTACAATCAGCTAAATTATTCTTCATGTTTCCAAATTATTTGAGATGCGGTTGAGTCCTAGCTTAGAGGACTCGCCTACAATCCGGGCAAATTTGCTTTCTTGCTAAGAGTTAGAAGAGAGGATAAAACTTCCCTATGTTTCCCTCATGTTAATTTCAAGGTTAGACATCATAGTTTAACCTTAGCGTAGCTTAGCATAAACTCTTGGAACAAAAGTAAAAGATAGCCATTCGTAACAAAAATTACCCAAAGGCACTACAACCGCTTACCCATTTAAGCATGAGCCTACAAATTGTTATATACATTCAAAAACCTATGTGGGGTGAAAATAAACAGTTCTGCAGGGCTTTATGTGTTAAACCTTTTGTTGGCTCGGAGCACTTTAAAGTGCTGCGAAATCGTTGATTTTATTTTTTCAGGTTGTATATAGATTAAAGACAAGAAAAAACATTTCACCATTTCATATTTGGGCAGTGCAAACCAGTTTTTTTCCTGGTTTTCAGTCTTTTGGCTACTCAAAGTGTACACAAGCTAAATGGTAATTATTAATCAGTGTCTATTTGCACTCAGGCAAGAAGAGTCAATCCAACCCTAGCTTAACAAAAAAAGTAAACATTATGTTGCATAACTAACCTAAGCAAAACATTGATTAGATAATATGAAATATAAAAAAAAGCCAAAGGGATATTTGATTATTTATCCAGACAGATATTTAGATGAGATTAGATGTTTATTTCCATTTGCACAGGTATAGGTCTTTACAGGTACTTGGTGTAAATTTGTTATATTTCTTAGGAGTCATGTTTTTTTCAGTTGTACTTTCTGTTGGACACTCGTGCCAGAGTATCAAAGGGCTTGCGCCATGACTGGGTTATTTTTGTAATACTGATCGGCCGGCCAGCTTGCACAAATCAAGCCAGACACATTCATGTCTTGTGAAACCTGAGATCAGATGATTGCAACCTTGCAGAACATTTCAGATTTGAAATGGCTACAGAGTTGCGAGGATGTGCCGTGTTATTACATGCATCAGCGGTTTATAGTAACAAAGTCCATACTCCAAAAAAAAAAGCTTTTGACATTTTATATACAGCAGGGACTCAGTTTATTTTGCAACACTCTGAAGGCTCTATAAAAAATATAGAAAGCCGAGGAAAAAAGGAGTCTTGATATTTTGACAGGGCTTGATTTTGTGAAGGCTTTTGGGTTCAGGTTAATGTAAATACAGATCTTTGGAAGTGGGTTAGGGTGACTGTTGGTGTTGAAAGGTGTCTTGAATCTCTGTAGGGTTGGCCAGTCTTTGTCCCAACCCGCCTGCCAGCACGACTCGGCTGCATGATCACTGACTTGGCAGAAAATGGAGGTGCCTGCCTTTTCTGGCCTCACCTCAGCAGCTCTGTCTGTTACCTAACAGCTGTAAATATAAAAAACCTGACTGGTTTAAAGCATCAGAACACCACATAGAGCCAGGTTATTACTTTATGATGAAGGTCAACCTGAGGAGCTGAAGGGAGGAGGGGGGTGGGGGGTGATATGGTTGATAGCACAGTTCTAAAATAAGGTTTGTGTCTCCTTTGCAGCTACAGCGATATTGAATATCTAGCTTCTCCACCACACCTACACCCTGTTTGTTCTTATCACCTGGTGAACTTTCTATGGTAACAGCACTGCTCCCTGAGTAAACACCTTTGTGGATTCAATGTTTTACTGGCTTTGAAATCCTGACATGTTTCATTTAACCTTCGAGTTACCTGTGAAATCAAACGGAAAAAGTAAATATTGGATGAGCTTAAAACTGTAAGTGAATGAGAGTTGAGCGGATCAAATTGTTTAAGAGGCCTCTAGTTTGTTTTTTACAAACTTAAAATGATGGAAAAAGAAGTTTGATGATTTCAACCAAAGTAGTTTTATATAATAGATGTTCTTAAGTTGCATTACGTTTTTTCTCAAAGAGGTTTTCTTGAATTCGAGGAACGCTTCTTTCATCATGGTCACAACTGAACATGGCTGCTGTATTTACCATTAACTGTAAATAAAGATGGACGATAGGGATCCAACTCTTCTGTTTGAACAAAAGTGAAGCCAAAATACAATGGTAACCAAAACATACTTTAACTTAAACAGCAAAGATCCCTCATGTCAGTACAGTCCATTGCACAACAGAATCATTCATTGATTCGAAACAGACACACATGGACTGCTTCCCCTTATGTCAGATCTCGCTGTTTTCCTTCTGCTAATCTGATGCACACAAGTATTTGTCAAAAATGTGGTGGATGTACAAAGTTGCATAAAAACAACACGTGTGTCCACACTGTTGCAGTACTCGAGTGAATGTTAACTCATATTCTATTACCTAACTATGAAGGGGACGTGTCTAGTGTTTGTTTGACTTAGTCTCAAGGTGACTGTTGTTTGAGAATAAAGCAGCTTTGTTGTTGTGAAATGTGATGAAGGTTGCCCGAATGCAGCGGAGTTAGCGTTGCTTAGCATTACGATAGTTTAAAATCTTCTCAAGGGAAAGACGATGAAGCCCACATCGTTGTCTGCCAGTCAGATACACAATATGCTGTCTTGTGCTGCCAAAGTAATGAGAACCAGCACGCTCACTGATGACATTAAGATGTCTGTGTGTACAGGAGCTGCATGGTTGCAGAAAACCTGAGAGAAGATAACAGACCTCATTTGTGTGAGGATTTTATAAAACAAAGAAGTTTATCCTCTATGAAGAATATACTTTATGGCACATTATGTAAGATGTACAACTAGGAAAAGATGAACCACATACAAGGAAGTGAAACACTGTGCCTTGTTTTTGTGTATTTTCATGTGATCTTTCTACTGTGGTCGATTAGGATACTAATGTGTAACATCAAGTCTGAACACGTTTAGCTGCAGCACACAGAACTGGTTTCATTAGGGCCCAAAGTAAAGATCGAGAACAGAAAAGGTGACTTTATTTTTATGTGGTATACTAAATCAGGCACAGAGGCATCGGGCACATTTGTAAAATTACTGAACGTTTAGAAGTCGCTTTTGTTGTCTGAATCTAAATCGGAATCGGAAAAGTTAGAAGCCCTGGTTCTTCTTTAAATGACAGGCTCATGTCGAGGTAGGCTATATTTTAAAGAGTCATATAATACCCCCCCCCCCATCCCCTTATAGAGGGGAAAGATAACCACACTAAAAAATGATTATTTTGTCATCTTCCATGTGGTCGTTTTGAATGAACTATTTTGCTGATTTTCAATTCTTGCTGTGGTTTGATTGACCAACAATAACAGTTCACCTCAAACAGAGGTCTGATCTGTGGACACACAGGGGCCAAGCAGATTTCAGAGTCAGAGTTACCCTAAGCCCCCCCTCCCCAACGCCCCTTGCCCAGCTGCTGTCTGGCACAAATTCAGCAACATGTGATGGTTGGGCTCCTCAGCTAATAGATTGGATTTTGACTAGCTCTGGCAAT